GTCGTGAAGCTGACCACTCACCTCCAACTAGTTCTGAGGTCAAGAAAATGTGGATCTATACATCCACTCCCTTATACGCCTTCATGGCGTAGTGCTTAATTAGTTAAGCACAGGGACAACTTTGCCTTTACCTTTACCCCAGATGCCTGAAGGCCGTGCCCTCCATCCGCAACCTGAAGACGCGCCATGCCGTGGTAACAAGGGGCAATAAAGAAAATCCTACAAAAATTTTATGACAAAATTAGAACCGACCAAAGTGAATACAAATGAAGCAAGTTCTAGTGGTTCAATTATGGTTCTCAGGTGCGCTCTCTGACATGCCTGCTGTCAGGACCTTTGCGCTGTACGCCACAGTGGCCCTGCTTCTGGATTTCATTTTCCAAATCACCTGTTTCGTCAGTCTGCTTGCAGTGGACGACAGAAGACAAGCAGTAAGTAGAATGTCAAAGTAAAATACTGTGCTTCGTTTCTATACAGGGTGTTCTGAGGGAACATTCTGTATATGCATACGAATATTTAACATATGATACGATGTATCCTCCGGTCTAGAAAACGGAGATTAAGGGCCGTGGGATTCCGCTGCGCTGACCATGCGACACCTTTTATCCGCTAAAGATGACATTAACTTCGCCGACAAGCGGCGGCCGCTCGGTCGGTATAGTTCGCTTGTGGATGTGTCCATCCATTTACACAGGGTTAGTATTCACCTAGATAAAAGCCTCAAATCTCATATAAATTCAGTTTTGTTCAAGAAGTTTTAAGATCATCTTTGAAGGTTGAATCAGATAATGTTTATAATGTTAAAAAGCATGCAATGTGTAGCAATGGGCATTAAAGGATAAACGTCGTTACTAAGTATGCTTACTTACTTATGGAACTGAGCCCTTCTTGAGGAGAAGCCAAATCTGCAGCTACTCAAGAATTTCCCAGCATTTTATGGAACACGAAGGTTCATTACCGTGTTCACGAGAGCCCTCTACTGGTCCCTATCCTCAGCCACATCAATCCAACCCATCCCATCCATCTATCTAAGATCCATTTTAATATTGTCCACCCATCTACGCCTTGGTCTTCCCAGTGGTCTCTTTCCTTCTGGCTTTCCCACCAATATCCTATATGCATTCCTCGTCTCCCCCATTCGTGCTAATTAGTAAATATATTATATATTGTAATACTTTTAATTCTGTACAGGCGAAACGGTTCGACGTGATCTGTTGCGTCGTTTCTTCGGAGAAGAAAGTTGGCTCCAGGAAACACGACAACCTACTCAGTTACGTTTTCGAGAAGTGTTACGCTCCCTACCTGCTTGGATACCCCTGGGTGCGCGTCATCGTTGTTCTGCTGTTTCTGCTCTGGCTCTGCGTCAGTATCTGTCTGTTCCCTCTGGCCGAGGCGGGACTCGACCAGGAGCTCTCGATGCCCGAGGACTCCTACGTCCTCGTCTATTTCCAGGTAACCTGTGACAGAGATAAAACCATCAACCCTTTCGGGAGTAAGATAAAGTTGTCGCTGTACTTAATTTATTAAGCACTTTGCCATGAAGGGGCACGCGGTAGCGTAGTTGGGTTCAGGCACTATGCTACAAACCGTAAGGCCGCGTGTTCCATTCATGACAAGGTCAGTGAATTTTTCAATTGACCTAATCCTTCCAGCCGCACTATGACCCTGGGGTCGACTCGGCCTATAACAGAAATGAATACCAGGAGTCTTTCTAGGAGTAAAGGGCGGCCGGCACTTAAGACTGTGTCTATTATGCAGAAAATGTGGGAGCCTCGACGTCTCACAACTCTATGGGCCTCCATGGCCTGTTACAGGGATATACTCGTATTTACTATGACATGAAGACGTATAGGGGAGTAGAGGTATAGCTCTAACATTGCTGACCTCGACACTAGATGGAGTGGTCAGCTTCACGTCCCTGCCGCTTTACCCCTCGGGTAAAAAGCCCTCGTATCAATTGGATAGGAGGCTGGGTGGGCCCCGACATAGGTCTTGACGCTGCGAAGAGAAAAACTGGCACTGTCAGGAATCGAACACGGGCCACCCAGCCCGTAGCCCGTCATCATACCGACTGAGACACCTCATCTAGTGTCGAGATCAAGGAAGGTAGAGTTCTACCTCCACTCCCCTATATGTCTTCATGGTATAGTGTTTAACGAATTAAACACTGGATCTTTACCTTTCTTTTTCTTCTACCCTTTTGGGAGTAATCTGGAATGGAGAGGAAGCAAAGAGGCGAAGAAGACTGTATAATGAGGAAGTCTGCAATTCGTATTCTTCCATCAGATATCACTAAAGCAAAGGTACCCAATTTTTTTGGACAACAGAGTATATTTAATGTGAGGATTTATTTCTTCTCCATCTTCATGGTCGAAGGATATGCCAGCATGAAACAGGGAGCAATCATTTTGCCTCCTGTTTGTTTTTCGACCTTGAAGATGGTAGCAACATATTCAACCGAAACATCGGTTGACTTTCAAAGGACTACACAATGTTATAGAATGTTTCATAACCACAACTGCGAGAACCTCATATCAAAGGCACAATTTTGTTCTCTGTATTGTACCTTGAAGTACAGAACGTAATCAATATACTTTTATGTGTTGCAGTACATGAAAGATCTGCTATCTATGGGCCCTCCTGTGTACTTCGTGGTCAAAGCCGGACTCAACTACAGCGACAGCGATATACAGAACCTCATCTGTGGCGGACAGGGCTGCAACGCGGACTCCCTGAGCACTCACCTATATCGCGCCCACCTGTCTCCAGAGAGGTACAGATTAACAGCTAAATACTTACTTGAGTTGAGTTGAGCCCTTCTTGGAGGAACTGCCAATTGTGCAGTTACTCAAGAATATCCCAGCATTTTATGGAACCCGAATGTTCATAACCGTGTTCATATGAGCCCTCCACTGGTCCCTATCCTGAGCCAGATCAATCCAATCCATACCATCCAATCCTATCTCTCTAAGATCCAGCTAAATATATTTTTAAATTCATTTAACTTGGATAAGGCCTCCGACCTACTTAACAATTTACAAGATAAAATTAGAATATCTTATAATGTGAAACCACGGATATTGCATGATAGATCCAATGTTTCAGAGGAAACTGTTGCCTCTATTCCGCCGAAACCTTCTATCTACCAAATAACACGGCGTCACATACTAGAAGACAATAACATTAATATTCACTGCCGTGAAAACCTCAGGTTCATTTGTTTTGCAAAACGTGCATAGGAACTATAATCAAACCGCGATTTCATGTTTCTCATATCAGTGATTAGGGCTGTCCGCCTCGAAAAAGGATTGGCCAACAGTTACATGTTAACCAGCTATTTGATCTGCGAGCTCTGTTCCGCAGCTGATATGCACTCAGAAAGCTGCAAGCTTGTGTAGACACGCGTCTATGTTTGGAATTGCAGTGGTCTTAGCAACAGTGCTACATACTTCCATCCGGGCTTGCGCTTGTTACGTTAGATACAGACGAGACCAGGTACCATTACATCGCGCCTGTACTGTAGTTAGATCACAACAGCCACTCGGTCTACGTAAAGTAAAGTAAAGTAAAGCTATCCCTGTACCAGGCCGTGAAGGCCCATAGGGTTGTGAGACGTTGAGAATCCCACATTATCTAGACAATCGGCTCAAAGATGGCGGTGAGGTTGTCAGCCTTACGCGCCGGCCGCGCTTCACTCCCCAGGAAAATTATTTAATTAATTCCTGGTACTCATTTCTGTTTGAGGCTGAGTAAACCCCAGGGTCATAGTGCGGCCGGAAGGATTAGGTCAACTGAAAAAAATCCGATGACCTCATCGGTATTTGAACCCGCGATCTTCCGGCTGTCTACGTAACAATACATTTCATTTCCAGAACTGCTGATAGGTTTACCTTCACATTTAATACTGGGAGATCTTCATTTAAAGCTGTAGAAGGACTTAAGCACCACTTGTTACAAAGATATTATAATAATAATATTATTATTATTGTTATCATCAACATCATTATTAACTGCGCCGTATCTCAGGTGGTTAGGCGCTGGATCCACAGTGCGAAGTATGGGGTTCAGTCTCGGGTGAATTCATGTGTGATTCATGGTGGATGAAGTAATATTGAAGCAGGATTTTCTTCGATTTTTTTTCTGNTAATAATAATGGCAGTTGCCGTATTTCTGCTCCATTCGGTATTATCATTATTATGAATTTATGAAACTGCACAAATATTTGAATTCGGTAGCGTAGTTGGTTGAGGGGCTATGCTACAAGACGGAAGGTCGCGGGTTCAAGTCCCGATGAGGTCGTTGAATTTTTTTCAGTTGACCTAATCCTTCCAGAGGCACTGGGGTTTACTCAGCCTCTAACAGAAATGTGTACCAGGGATTAATTTAATAATTTTCCTGGGGAGTAAAAGGAGGCCGGCGGGTAACGCTGACAACCTTACCGCCATCTGTGAGCCGATTGTTTAGATAATGTGGGAGCCTCGACGTCTCACAACCCTATGGGCCTTCAGGGCCTGTTACAGGGATAGCTTTACTTTTACTTTTATTGTACTATGAATTAGAATATCTACACAGTAAACTCTCGCTATTCCGGACTGATTGGTGAAGGTCATCCGGATTAGTGAAGAAAATCGTAGCCGTAAAAGACAAAAAAGTGTAGAACATAAATAAATGGAAAATTGAATAATATAGGTAGTATAGATGAAAATAAATAAAAAATATTACTCTAGATACTTTATGTAAAAAATATAAAAGATGAATGCATTTACTCACCGATAGACTCAGAAGCTGTACTTGTGTTTGCACGTAATAATGCGGGTTTGAGGAGACTCCCAAATTTTATCTGAACATACAAGTGACTCATCTGCCTTCCTAAATGCCATGTGACTTTTAAAGTATGTACTCAACTGTGAAGAGCATTTCTAATCTTTTATATTTCGACTCTGATCAACTGTAACCGAGTTGGTGAGGTTTTACTACATATGCATTCTTTTGCCTTTAATCTATGTAAGTAATTTTTGTTTTATCTATCCCGATGAGGTCATTGGATTTTTCAATTGACCTCATTCTTCCAGTCTCATTATGACCCTGGAGTCGACTCAGCCTCTAACAGAAATAAGTACCAGGAATCCTCCTGGGGGTTCGTAAGACTGACAACCTTACCGCCAGCTGTGAGCTGATTGTCTAGAAAATGTGCGAGCTTCAGCGTCTCACAACCCTATGGGCCTGCGCGACCTGATATAGAGACACCTTTACCTTAACCGATGAGTTAGCACAAAAGAATAAAAAAATGGACTTAATTACTATTATTTCACGATAGACCCGAGGGACAGGAGCCGGGGTAGCGTAGTTGGTATAGCGATTGGCTACGGGCTCGATAACTGAGTGGTCGTAGTTCAAGTCCCGGTAAGGTCAAGAATTTTCTCCACTCCAAATTGACCAGATTCGGCTCTGGGGTTCACCCACCGTAATGGGTACCGGGGGTTAAGGGGCCGGGGTGTGAAGCTGACAATTCTCCTCCAACTAGTGCCGAAATAAAGAAAATATGGATATATACATCCACTCCCCAATACACCATCATGGAGTAGTGCTTAATTCGTTGAACACAGGGAAAAATTTAACTTTTACTTTCTACCTGAGGGCATCGATTTATTAAATAATTATATATATATTAGGTGTTTTTATATAACGATATATTTTGCACTTTATAAGAATTTGGCATATAAACTTTTCGGAGCGTCCTGATTGGTCTGTATGTCACAGCTCATACTTGGCGCGCCCAGCATCCTCGTGGATCGACGACTATTTCGATTGGACTACGCTGGAGAGTTGCTGCTCAAAGCCTCCTGTGTTTCCAGGTAATTTCCTCATTCATTACACCTCCACACAACGAGAGTGTGAGGGATTTCTTGGTTCTTTTCACCCTGATTTGATCTTCATAAACGTCGTAAAGACTGGTCATGGGACACACCCAGCTTCATATCCATCACGTACTGGGGGTAAAGCGGCCGAGGGGTGAAGCTGACCTCTCACCTCAAACTATTGATGGGATCAAGAAAACATGGATCTATACACTCACTCCCCCATACGCCTTCATGACGCAGTGCTTAAACTACACTTTACACTCGACATTACTGTGACCAAAACAACATACATTATACCCACCACTCTGTCACACAGAACTAAGACATAAATTCAAAAAATAACTTCTTCAATGGGAACTAGAAATTCATTTTGCACCCTCTTCTTACATGTACTTACCCTGTTACAAAATAAAAAGTGTATCATTCTGACTAATAAACCTACACACACATGTATTATTCAGAG